AAGTAGAGTCATGCATTCGATTACTAAGGCGGAGGAAAGCGACAGGTCCCGACGAACTCCTAGTTCTTTTCAAACTGGGTGGTGGGGGGTTGATAAAATCACTTACCGCTTTGCTCCGTGACATTTGGAAAGAGGAGCGTATTCCGTTAATATAGAGCGAGTCATTGATTGTTCCCATCTTCAAGAAGGGAATACGCAATGACTGCAGTAATCATCATGGGATTAGCTTAATTCCGATGGTCACCAAAGTAACAGTATCGATTCCGCTGCACCGTCTTACGCTCACTCGCGAGAGGAACACCCGCGAACAGCAGGCTGAATTCCGCCAAAGTCGAGGATGCATCGACCAGATTTTTACTCTTCACCGACTACTTGAAACGCGTCACACGCACCACCGACCGACAGTAATGGTGTTCCTCGACTTGAAAGGCGCCTTCGATTCAGTTGATCGAACAGCGCTTTTCAGTACTCTTCATCGGAAAGGTATGCCCCAGAAGTTCGTGAATCTACTGAGGTCGTTGTACTGTCATATATCTGGCGGCGCAAGGGTTTACGGTGAACTATCCGGTCTATTCGCAACGACCAGCGGTGTTCAACAGGGATGTCCCACTTCGTCATTCGTGTCAAACTTCGTCGTGGACGAGAAAATGGAGAATATTTTGGGAAATATTCAGGATACGGGCGTCGAACTAGGAGATAGTGGAAAGCTATACTAACTAGAATACGCAGACGACGTTGTCTGCTTGTTCGAATCCACGGGACATGCTCAACGTGCACTAGATAGACTCGCAAGAGCTGTAGTTCCATTCGGCATGCGCTTTGCACCTTCAAAGTGTAAAGTGATGTTACAAGACTGGACGTCAACGATTCCGAGCCTGGTGCTCAATGGGAAGGTGCTGTCAGTTGTCGACCACTTCACCTACCTCGGCAGCAAAGTGACGACGGATGAGAGCACTGTAGTAGAGGTGAGTACGCGTATATCGAAGGCTCGATCGGCGTACGCTGGACTGAAGCACTTGTGGCGTCGATCTGATATTTCACTGAAGTTGAAAGGTCGTGTATAACGTGCCGCAGTGCGTTCAGTTTTGTTGTATGGTTGCGAAACTTGGAGTCTGCGTGCTGAAGATGTTCGTCGTCTTGAGGTTTTCGACCACCGATGTTTACGTAGTATCGCTTAGATCGGGTGGAATAGTCGAGTAAGTAATGATGAGGTCAGAAACCGAGTATTGGGTACTAATTCGGAGAATGTTTTATCACAGCGTATCCAACTCAGTAGACTTCGTTGGTTGGGGCATGTGTTACCTATGTCAAGCACACGTCTACCGTACCGTGTCCTATTCTCCTTTCCTCCTAGGGAGTGGAAGTGACCACGTGGGGGTCAACAGATGATGTGGCAGCAAGGAATGAGAAAATGTACAGCAGACTTAGGAAAAGTAGGTGCTTGACTTCTTCGTGGTTGGGGTCCAAAAGATCCGTCTACCAGTTGGCTGGAGTCACTGAAGGATATGGCAGCGAACCGCTAACAGTGGAGATCGTGTTGTCACTTTCTGTCGAATCAGAATGACTGATCGATGTTTGTCTGTACAGTTAGACTGTGTATTCCGTGTGTTGGGTTCTGGGGCATTTTTTCCTTTTCCCACTCGTGTAGGTCCATTCCCTATCCATCTTGTATACTCATACTTTCTAATTCAGCGTTCAACATGGTGAGAAAGGCAGTGGTCAGTGGGGCTTGCCCTACTGTTTAACGCTGCACGGTGATGATGATGATGATGCAAGATGACAGACCGATTCTATCTCTTCTTGCCCCTCGGAGAGAATTACGAGAACATAATTCGGATTGCATTCTACTAACCGAATTTCATCAATCAAGGGATCATACTTGGGTGATCGATTGTGTCGTCTGTGCAATACGCGATCGGAATGCACCAACCAGCTAGGTAATGAGACACCTGATACAGCTTTCCTGTTATGCTTGAGCATTCGTTCGTGAGGCATCTCATTTGTTGTCGTAGATAACAAAGATCGTGTAGAATGGAGAGTGTCAGTGGAGACCTCCTACCATCGACGGACGTCCAGCCCTCTTGATTTTAGTACCAGAGTGACGGCTTGCCATAATGAACTGTTTAAGCGTCCAGCTTAGCGGTTGGTTTGTGGGCTGCAGGCCGTAGTTCGGCTGGTCGTGATGGCTCTGGTGTGCAAGAAAGTTTTGAGTTCTGACATGGAAAAGGAACCGCGGTCGGATTAAATATAAACTGGCAATCCAAAAATAGAAAAGAGTTGCCGTAAGAATTTGATTACCATCGTAGAAGACATGTCTTAACAAGCGAATGCGAACGAAAAACTGGTGTGGATAAGTGTTTATTGTTCGGTAACACAGTGTTATTTGAAAAGATGGTAGTCAGTCGACGTTTCGATTACCGCGGGTCACCTCTATCAAGACCAGTTTGCAATCGATTGCAAACTGGTCTTGATAAAGGCGACCCGCGGTAATCGAAACGTTGACTGACTACCATCTTTTCCGATAACGCTGTGTTACCGAACAATAAACACCAGCCTATAACATGGCGCGTCGTTTTTTCGATACACTCCGAACGTATCTGGGATACATGAGGATAACCGTCATTTGAGGTCGATACTCAACCTTTCGAAAAGTTGCGTTGTTTTGATTCGTGTTCTATCCTGAGGTTGGTAAAATCTAGGCCTGACTTCCGCGCACGTCTTATATTGCGAAGTCACTCGCCGTACTTCATCCGCAGAGTACGGTAAGTTTCGAGAACAAATGGCATGAAACATACGAGTTACCTCCGGACAGTAGAGTGATTCGTGTAAATCTCTATGAATGGTGAGACCTAAAACGGCTATACGGTAGGCGCGCGAGAGCACGTCAACCGCTTGGTTATCACACTATGAACGGTAGACAACATCATATCGAAAACAGGATAGTTAAACTCGCCATCGTTGGATGTTTTTATTTTTTTGTTTTATTATTTGGCGCGTTACTCGACATAAAGGCAACTGACCCTTGATCGGTGATCAGTTTGAAGTAATTCCGTAGTAGGTAGTCCCCACTTCCTCAGTACCTGAACCCTAGCATAAGCTTTTTCGATGGCGGAATGGTGTCTTTCGGTTGGTGTCAAAGTTCTGGAAAAAAGCGCCACCGTTCTACCATTCTGGTTGAGTGTAGCAGCGATGGCGACATCCGAGGCATCCGTCTCCACGACTAGAGACAAGCCGATCTTCATGGTTACTATCACACCGTTTTCCAGCTTGTCTTTTACATTTTCGAAGAACTGTATGTTGGGTTCAGGCATTGGGAATGTATGATTTCGAACCAGTGAGTTTATCTTATCTAAGAAGTGCGATATCCATCGCGAATAATGTGCAGTCAGTCCTAATGCACGCTCTTATTCTTTGATATTTCGAGGGGGAAAGGGGGGGGGGAGGTTCTAGAAACTGCTCCAGCGTCTGACTGTTTTGTTAGAAAATCGTAGACAGAATGCGTAGTGCAAAGACTTCGTCTTTCTGGTTTACCTATCGCTTTTCCGGAGTTCGTATGGCATCGTCGAAGACTTTGCAATTCCCAGTGTGTTTGTAGAAAAAGAGAGCAATGCAGTTTGCGATTGTATCCGACTTATCAGGAATGAGTGCTTTGATGATGGCGAGGAATTTTGTGAAAGTGCGGTATTAATGAATCCATTGATCCCTTGTGCCAGAAGAATGAAGATCGGTATCGAATCTCCCGGGTCGGAGATATTTGTCCATTGCAGAGAAATCTGTTGATTAGATTGTGCTTAATGAGCAATCAGTCATATGCTTTGAGTATAAAAGGAGTAGGCCGGATCAGAAGCTTTAATCAACTGATAAATGGAGTGTGGTACTAAAACAAAAGGGAAGATAGATGTGAATACATGTGATACATGAAATGACGAGTAATACAAAAATTGATAGATTAGTCAAAGTTCCAATTCATAACCATCTGTTATAGCCTAATATGATTCCTGCGGTAGCCAGCTAACTATCATTGTGGACTTTGTATACCTTGCTTTTCTTTGTTCAAATCTTGCATTCAATGATCATTTCTTCTCTGGGTAGCTGATACTAATCTGCGACATCAGACATATTACACCGTTGTTGTTTAGTGAATGGAGGATTTACTGGATTATTATCCCGTTCTCAAATTCTCATGGTCATGCTTGCCGCTCCTGTGCTGGTGCTGTTGTTTTAGATCGTGAGCATAAAAATGACCGAACCGCGCGTATTATTTCATACATGCGTAATGCTGTGCCGTATATATGTGTAGCATAACAGAAAGAACACAATTAATTAATACGCAATTATTCATTCCGGAATATAACACTTCCACTTTGTTTATTCTTGCCATTGTCATGCCTTTTTGGATTTGACGGTATCCGTCTCGCCTTAGTGTTATGGTTACAGTGAAATAATACCAAAATTTAAACGGTGGTAAGTTCAAGCTGGAATTACCAACTTTAGACGTGGTGAAAAAGTCACATTTGTTGAAATTTGATAGGAAAGGAAGGAGGCACATTGAAATAATCCCATATTCGATGTCAAAGCTTTAAGGAGTACTCATGTATCCACCACCCTCGAGCAGCGCATCCAGTGATGGGTTTTCAAGCGTTATCATTTTCATTGGTGTCTTGTCCACACTTTTGAGTGTGCCGTGACGCTGTGAAAAAAGCCAAGTGGTAAGCAGGTGCTGGTCAACCACTGTAAACTCATCTGACATTCTTTGAGTTTTCGTAATTCCACTCCTGATGTAGCAATTGATATTTATCCCGGAGACAGCCGGTAATCATAAGTTCGACAAAAGTTGACTTTAAATCAATTTGCATGAGCAAAATATTTTTTTCCTATGAACCACCGAAACCACTCATTTTTGCTGAATAAGACCATATAACTATGGTATTTTGTTAGGCTACTTTGTTAAACTTATTAACTGTCTTTTGTTATACTTACGAGAAAACTTACTGTGTTAGCCTCCAGAAACTATCACCGCACGCTACCCCTTTGCCCCGGTCCGGTTCTACACAAAATCTGGAGCAGCAATCCTGGCACAGCATTCTGTTTAACATTCGGAATCACGTAAGTTTATCGTTTCGATTTCATGCTTTACCCGTTTACAAATTATCGACTTATGTGCTCCGATTTCACCGAGATCAGTTCCCTTCAAACATACCGCAACAAAAAGTGATTCCCGTTATGTTTACCTAGCGTACAAAAACAGTTAATTGGATGAACGTATGTGACGGGTGTCATAAATAGTGGTTTGATATTCGACCTTTCTATAGTAATTCGACAAATTACTTGAAATAGGTGGTTCTGTTATAGTTGCTAGGCTTACTGTTTTCTATTGTTTTTCCTGTCTTCTACACGTGTTCTGTTTCCTCATATATACTCAGTGTATCGCGGACCGAGCGTAGCCAGTTTTTCTTTAGTTCTCTAATATATTCACATATATATATATATATATATATATATATATATATATATATATATATATATATATATTCATATATACGCAGACCATATCATTTCTGCTGATTGAAGATCCAGGTAAGATGCAAGCTTTTCTAGATAGTCTGAACAACAGTGTAGCATTATTTGGGATGCGTTTTGCAACTTCATACTGTGACGCGCCACTGCAGGACAGTTGACTCAGAACTAAATTTGGTCTCGCCCGGGAGAAGCCCTGGCTGTTGTTTTTTGCCTGGGCAGTTACATCTCACCAGGTGGACAGATATCGGATGAAGTGTCGTCGCGTACACAGAAGACGTGTTTGGCTTTTGCCAACCTCAGTTACCTGTGGCGCCAGCGAAGTATCCGATTGTTGATCAGGGATCGAGTGTACAGTCTGTCCAAAAAGTTCGGGATCACCTCAGTTGGATCGTAGTCTTGACACGCTGTCGAATTCCAGTTGATACTGGCAATACTTCTTTCTCTCGCTAAGCAATAGTGTCTGTTGTATATTTTTGGCTGCTGAGATTAGTTTCAGTTGCACAAACTGGAATATGACTGCATGTCAGGATTTCGACTGAACTGAGGTGATCCCGATTTTTTTGGACAGATTGTACACTTCGGCAGTCAGATCCATTCTCCGTGGCTCATAATCATGGCCGCTATGAGTAGAAGACAGGCGAAGACCGTCGATGTTCGAGCATTGATCTCAAATCAAGTCCAGTTGATAAACGCTTTGATGCACCTGATGCAAGGTAAATTATCAGCTTGTGCGTGGTTTACAGTGGAATCCAAAAGAAAAGAGTGTAAGGGCTGTTTTGGAATGTGCAGAGGAATGCGTGGAAGCAAATGAAGTAGTACATGCGTTTATATCATTGACAAAGGTGAATAACGAAATCGTCGATTACTTGGTCGCGGTCTACAAGTGGGCAGACAAGATTAGGGATGAGGCTGTTTCCATCTATAGTCGTGCATGAATGAATTATTTTGAATTTCGAACGAGTAGAAGAGAAAGAGACGGCTCTGAAGAATGTGGGGTGAGGACAAGAATTGTTTTAAGATAGTAGCCCATTTTTGAATTTGCCACAAACATCAGAATAGTTGATAATATCGGAGTCAGTAAGCATATCTCTATTATGTCGCTACAGCTGGAAAGAAATTTAAGGGATTTGGTTATAAGATCAAAATCTTTTCCTTTTAAACCAAGACAAGTTACAGTGGAGCAGTAAAGTCAAAGAGAGAAAATGCAGAAGGTTGCAAATAGAAGTACAAGATTGTAAGATACTCTAAGTTTTTCTTAGTCTGGACGATGAAAAAGAAAGCTTTCTGACCTTAGTGAAGACTGTCTAAACGTTACTGGTCCAAAAAAGTTGTGAGTCAGGGTCACTTTTAGGTAACGAACGGAAGAAACTTTAGAGATATTGATTATCGATGGAAAAATGAGATGTTAATAAAATCAGTTTGGTAGCATGATTCACGTTGAAGATTGAAGGGCATGTCAGTGGTGTATTTACAGCCAAAGATATTAGTTGAAATGGATGGCTTTGTAATATAAAGGGAGAAATGAAATAGGGATAAAATGGCTCCCTGGAAAACACCTGTTAATTTTAAGAGAAAGCTATTGTCTTTTTCCTTAAGAAGTGAGCTTTGCGATCAGAAAAATAGCCACGAAGGATGTTCGATGTCAAATATTCGGGAGAATACCGCAATGAAGGGAACCAAATGTGTTCGTGATCAAGAATAGAAGCAATAGAATTAACGATATAGCCGACGAGTTGACGGAGAAGGTTGGTAGGCAAATTGTGTCGGCTCAGAAGAGTGAACCATGCGGTGGAGGAGGATATTCTCAAACATTTTCAGCAAAGCAAATTTTCAAGCTGTCGGATGATATTCGTTTGGTTCTTTCTCGTGCACAGTTGTAATGCTTAGTGTTGTATCCCGAATTCAATAAATAAAAAGGAGGCATGTTTGTGCGGATGACCGTGTATGCAGAAGCAACGTATGACAAGCGCAAATACAGGCAAACAGGTGAAAACGCAAGCACGTATGCAAGTGCCTGAGTCAACGATGTATGCAATCGAAAGTGCTAGCAGCTGTACATTCGGAATATGCTGCGCAAGTTCGTGCAACACGTGATGCTAACTGATTGATCAGTACTGTCCGGGACGAAGCACAACAAACATCAACTGTGTACGTGTGTGTCTGTGATTGCACGGGATTCAGATCAAGTGTGCGTGGGTGAGAGCACATGACTGTTCAAGGCGAACACAACACGGAGACCTCCAACAACTGGGAATCGCACCAGAATCAATACAGCGAATAAGTTGATCAGTCCAAGGGATGTGAGTTCAAAAGAGCAGGCTTTTAGTAACATTGCTGGCAGTAAGTCGGATTTTTGGCACTTGACTCTTAGGACAGAGCCAGATGTAACGGGGTTGGGTTCGTGGGATTCAAGAAATGTAGGGGGAAGCGAAGATGCGTCAAAGTTAATGGTGAATTGGTGATTCAGAATTTCAGAGTCTAGCTTCAACTTGGGCCGGGCATATCACAACCGTTTCAGGATTTTCCATCTCTTAAAGCAGTTTTTGTAACTTAACACTGATCGTATGCAAATTATTCAGCTGTCGTTTCTCCGTCTTTATAATTGTGGATAGCGTTTTTGCGAAATAATGCCATCCAGATTTGTACGCTCTTTAGTAAGCTCTGCGGAGCCCCTTCAAGGGAGGGGGGGGGGAGAAATTATGGGGTTGAAAATAGTGTTTCATTGGGGCGGCACAAGTCGTAGCGAAAGTTTAGGAAGTCCCTTATGTGTCAAAAGTTTGAGGACGCATCATGTAAAGACGAAATGGAAAAAGTGGTGGAGCTATCAAATGCCCTAAGCTTATCGAGATTCTCGGGGGTGCAAGCTCGTTTGTAGACAGTGCGCGATAAGTGGAGGGAGTTGATCAAAGATTTACTTTTTCGATAAACTTTAAGGCGAAGATGTAAAGTACGGTGATCAGAAATGCTAATGGGGACACGTTTAAATACCGTGAATATACTTGGATAACTAACTAACGCTGAATCCAAAGGGGCGCTTTAGGAAATGCTCAAGATAAAAAACCCAAGGTTGTTAAGAAGGGTAAATTAAGTCCATTGAAGTAACCTGCTATTATCCACAAGGACTGATCAAGACTTGTGATGTGATACTTAAAGAGAGAAGTGAGAATCACAGTATTGCACGATCTATGTCCACGAAGACTTCACTGCATTTCTACGCAGTGCATGCTGCAGGCAATAGCTAATTCCACAGTTTGTTTATGTATCAATTATATATATATATATATATATATATATATATATATATATGTATATATATATATATATATATATATATATATATATATATATATATATATATATATATATATATATATACCTTCATCAAATAACCAAACTTTGCTTATGAAGAGGACGCGAAAGCTGTCGTCGTGAGTACACAAGATCTATATGTATTTATTTTTTCATGACATGCTTGCGCATGAGTGCAGTGGAATTGGCGTACTCCGTAAACTCGAATGATCACTGATCCCGGGACGTGAATCGGAAAACGACAACCGATTCCACTATGTCAAGCGGTGTAACGATCCGGGGTCAGTGGGTTACTGATTGTATTTATATATCCTTCCGGTGGTATATGCAAAAGTCATTTTATTGCATAGAGACGATAGCTTTTCGTCAGTTTCATTAGGATAGTTTCATTCTTAATGAAGTGGTGTTATTCACATGGCATGCGATGACAACCGGATGTTACTTCATCTGGTTGAATTACATGCTGCTTTGGGATAGCAAAAAGAAGAAAATGATCGGAAAGATAACTGGTCCCTTGTGTCTTACGTGCATTACTCGGGAGTTCTTTCGAGGTAGACGTCATCCTTACCTTGTTTTCGCAATACATTCAGCCAACAAAAATCATTCAGACAAGTTGACATGCAGGTGTACCGTGTTACAGAGTTCAACACACATGCAAACTCACACCAGCGCATTCGCAGTCATTTACCACTCTCTTGTTCAGTTAGGGTTTTGTGTATGCGCGTCAGCTGCTACCGTGAGTCTTACCCTGCTTATTCTTCTTTCTGCAATTTACTGTTCCCCCTTTCATTATTTTTTAATTCACTGTTGAGGTGTTCTCCCGTCTTCGCTTCGCTTATGATGGCGAGAACATTGTGTGCATTTTTGATTTGTTTTACTCTTGGTCGTTCCTGTTCTGTTTTCTCGGCTGTTCCCGTTTTTTGACTGTTTTTGTCGCTATCAGTGTTTCAGTCACTCGACTTGTGTTCTGAATAAAATCATGCTTGTTCAATTTGGTCTCCCGCTTTCGAAGAGAAGGTATGTAGGACGTTGTTTCTCAGATGGTGTTAATGCTGTTTCATGGGCTAACAATGACTGAAGTGTTCGAATTTTGACTTATTTTGGTTACTGTTGTATGTGTGTATGCAATCGACAAACCCCACCGTAAAACGGAATGATTTAGTTCTGCGTGCTGGTTGCAGATCCGTTTATAGATCTGTTTTAAGCCAATACAGTAACTGCCGTCACGAACGTATGATAAAATTTAGGTTTATTTACCCACTGTAGTTCAGTTCGCTGCTTCCCTACAGGTAGCCAGGCTATTTGCCACTAGTTGTAAGACGAAACCTTTCCGTGTGTTTTACTGCTTTTTCTTGCGTTGTTGCATCACTGACAGGTTTCGTAGTCGTTTCGTAAATCATGATCTCCGGCTGACCAGTGACGATGAATCATTTAGTTGCAAAACGCCTACAAAGAGGAACCCGTGATGGCGCACCATCGTGTTCATGCACAATCAGGTTATGATCTGTCTGTGACCGGCGTACCAACATTTTTCTTTCTTATTATATGCGGCCGTTGTAGTTTTCTTGAATAACTTATGCTTTGCGGCGATAATGTTACGGGGTCAGTTAGTATGAGAAACAGTCGTTCAAGTACATCATTTTGATTGCTGTTTGGTTGGAAGATATTCATTACGGTTTCACCCTGTCGCATTCTTTTTTTCTATGAAGGAAAGCCATTATGCTTTTCACGTAAGTCTAATCATCCTCCGCACGATGCGGTGCGAAACGCAACTTTATTTCGCATTGCGCTTATCACTAACCGTACAGCTTTGGCATTCACCCTGACTGTTATTTTCCACATTTCAGGCTAGCCGCGTTCAGTTGGCTCGTTCTATTCATCGACACTTGTGTCACATTCTGTTGGCCGCTCGGGAGTCAATGCTCATGTTCTGGAAAGAATTGCTGCCCTATTTACCCGTTCGGTTCAGACCTCGAATTGGTATGTTTTTCTGTTGCGTGGTATCTTACCGTCATTCGGTAGTTTCATTACAGTTGGGATTGCTTATTATAAACAAGGTACTTACTTCTCTATCGTGAGTCGAATGTTGTATTCATTCGTTTATCATAACTCAGCTATAGCTCCCATCCACTAGGCGTACGACCAGAAGCCTTATGCGGGCTAAACCACAGTTTGGCTTGAGGTTACGGAGCGTTGGCGTCGAACGATCTTTCCCGACTAGCGATAGGTTTTTTCCAGTTTGTTTTCCAATCAGATATGTCCACCACTTTGTAGTGGTGGTGGCATCATGTTTGATCTTGGGCCGGCGAACATGTAAGCTTTAGAAGACTTTCGCGTTTCATAATGTGAGGAGTTTTGAATGATTAAGTAGTATGGATTCTTTGCAGGTTGTTTTCACTTTTACGTTTCCTTAATGCTAAAAGCGAATAGAGTTTTATTTGCTCAGTGCGATATCTTTTGCACACAAGCAGTTCTACTTATTTGGCATATATATATATATATATATATATATATATATATATATATATATATATATATATATATATATATATATATATATATATATATATTGTTGTAGTGATGCGTCCACGCGCTCCGCGAAGCCAAGCGTTAGTGAATTAATCAAAGAGGCTAACGGCTCATTGATTCAAACTCAGGAGCGTCGTCTAACTCACTGGACTGAGCATTTTGAGCAACTTAACTGGCTTTTATCCACGATGGTTGCAGCTCTGGTCTTAGATACCTATCCTTCGTCAGAAGCGGAGGGTCTCCGTGAGATAAGCTACCTTAAACGACATAAGGCTGCTTGACCGGCTGGGTTGCTTCAGTCTATTTTCAAAGACGGTGGCTCAACATTGCTATTGGAGTTAACAAAACTCCTCCGTGTTTTATGGGATAGGGAACAAGTTCCAAAGAGTTGGTGTGAATCAGTGGTCGTACCAAATTACAAGAAGGGTGATAGACCCTCTTTTGAAAACTGGAGAGAAATCAATCTGGCTGGCATCGCATCCAAACCCCTTGCTGGTATTATTCTCCACCGCTTATCAACCGCTCACGCGAGAATCAAGCTAGGTTTAGACCTGGTCGAGGTTGTATTGATCACATATTCACTCTTCGACAGAGCTTAGAACTTAAACCCACCTTCCGTAGGCTCACTGTCTCCGTTTTTCTTTGTCTTAAAGCTGCCTTCGACTCAGTTGACCGCACGATTCTCTGTCGCTACCTCTTGTTGAGCGGTGTACCAGAGAAATTCATTTCTATGGTGAAATCCCTTTAAATGGATAGCCGAAGCCGAGATCACCACGAGAAGTGGTGCGCGTCAGGGTTGCCTCCTTTCTTCTTTCCTCTTAAACTTTGTGATTGATATGATCCTAGGGACTGCGCTTTTGTCAACTGAGGATAGTGGTATTGAACTTTTTCCGGGTGGAGAGGTATCAGACGTTGAATATGCCGACGACTTAGTTCTTCCAAGATCCAGATAGGTTTCAGCATTTATAGACAGATTGAGTAACTGTGTAGCAGTGTTAAAAATGCGTTTTGCATCTTCAAAGTCCAAGATGCTGTTTAGGGATTGGGTTGGTCCAACGCCAAATTTTTCAGTGTCTGGGGAGATTATAAACGTGGTAGACGAGTTCTGTTATCTGGGGAGGTGCAATTCACCCGGAGGTCGGATATCGAATAAGGTATTTTTGAGTGTACAGAAGGCCCATTTGACATTTTCCAACTTGAGTCATCTGTGGCGTCGACATGACATTCGTTTATTTATCAAGGATCGAGTGTACACTGCAGCAGTCAGGCCCGTGCTTCTGTATTGTTCTGAGACGTGGCCACTGCGTGTGGAGGACATACGAAGATTGTCGGTATTTGAATATCGATATCTTCGTAGTATTACCCGAATCTGGTGGGAACACTGTGTGAGTAATGCTGAGTTTCGGCTAAGATGGTTGGGACATGTGTTTTTCATGTTCCTTCGAGGCTCAGTGTTTGCTGAGGCGGGTGCCGGTTGGAAGATGAGTAAGAACGGCCAGTCCATGGGGCGGAAGAAAGGGTTTGAAAATTCTGAACATTGGATTTGGCCATGTGGGGCGTGTTAGACTTCCTTGATGAGGTTCAAGGGGCTCTTCCATTCAGTGGTTAGACACGATGGGGTTGCACTCCATCACGGCGCGACCGCACCTTGATGTGGTGTGAAAGCTTGCTTGCCATTATCACCGAAAGCGCTGTGTAGCATGGCTTTCTCAAGCCGTAGATGCAATCGTGCCTGAGAGGTCGATGGATAGAGGCCAGACTAAGTCCAATCTGCTGATCCTCTAGGTTGGGGACCAATTGAAGCTGGCAACTCGGTCGGTAAAATCAGTGGAAGAATAACTAATGCAAGCAAATTGGCTGCCACTCCGCCACTCCTCCTTGCGGACAGGTTTTAGCTGGAAATAAAGGCCTCGTTTGAGAACCTCCAGTCGTTCTGCTTTGCTGCTGGACACCCTAGCGGTACCCTCTCAACATTTCCCATGAACTACGTAAATACAAACAATTCCATACCGGTCATCTCGCAGGCGAATAAGGGCTGCCCTGCTCAATGTATCTACCGAGGTGGGCACTGATAAGTGGGCTACTGCTCAGATTTCCTTCTCTTTTACTCAACCCCTTGTCTTCAGTCCCCAGCCATTATTCTTTGTCCCCTTTATGTGCCCATAATGCTTCCACTGATAACACGCCCGATACTTGCAACGGTTCATTGTCAAACAGTGTCATGTGTACTTCTCTGTCTGGTAACTCACACTTTCTCAAGCCTCGTCAGCCTCTGAATCTCGACTCCTTTAACGTGCGTACTCTCATGCAGGCCGGTCAACAGGCGTGCCCAGCCCTCACAATGAACTCTCTGAAGGTTGATGTCTGCTGCTTAAGTGAAGCGCGTATCCAGGATTCGAGCAGTGTGATTCCGTTAACTACTCCTGGTATTTCATCGAGGTATTTTCTGCGCACTTCAGAGACGATGCAGCTAGAGCTGTGGGTCAACGTGATGCAGGAATAGTTTTGCTTGACAAGGCTGTGACTGCTCATTAAACTGGATCCCGGTCAATGGTCGTTTATTTGCTGGAAGACTCCAGGGGTCAGTTGGCATTCGAAAGGATAGCTGTGTTAAGTGCTGTTTGTTTCTGATCTTGGCACATGCCCCAACAGACTACAAACGTGACACGTACATGGATGAGTTTTAAGATGAACTCACCATACTCGTTCGCAGGAGTAAACGCTCTGACATTGTGGTGCTAGCGGGTTATTTTAATGTTCAGGTTGGCAAATTTGGTGCGTCAGAAGCTTGTTTAGGTGGGCGTTGTGCCTTAACCGCTCAGCGCACAAATAACAGGGCCGGGCCTCTCCAGTTTTGTACAGACAGTTGGATTTTCCTTTCCAGTACAAATTTCCGACACAACTCGCGTCGCAAACGTACACGGCGTTCTGACTCTTCAGGTACTCCGCGTCAGATTGATCAATTCGCGGTAAGCTACCGGTGGCGTAGTTCTGTTCATAATTGTAGATCCTTCTGCCTCACGTACGTAGAGTTGAATCATGCATTAGATTTAATGCGATTATCGCTCCAGCTCTATGGTCATCGGCGCAAACCGCACATCCGGTTAGCCGTGTATCGTTTGTCTGATCCTGAAGTTTGCACCAGTTATGAACAGAAATTAGCACGTGTGCTAGCATCTACGACGAGCAGTAATGTAGACGAGCACTAGGTGAATATCAAACGGGCAATGTACGAGGCAACAGGTTTCGCCTGCGGTCCTTGATCCGAAGCTCCTCAAAGATACTGGATTTACTAACAGTCGCTCAATCTAATAAATCAAAAAACACCAGCTCTCGAACTGTAAGAGGATGAACGAGATATGAAGAAATCTACAAAATCAAGTTTCGAGAGCCTTGTGAATGATGGCGAGAATTGGTGGATTAAGGTCACCGAAGAAATGGAATAACCAGCTTCTTCAGGTAAGAATCAAAGACTGTTGAAACTTATTCGCGACACTGGTGGACGGCGAACCCCGGTCAGTATAGCCAAATGCGACAGAAATCGAGAGCCTAGTCTTGGGAAAGAGAAAAAGCTCAACCTTTCGGCCGAATACTTCAAAGACAAGGTTAGCTGGCCGCGCTCTAAAGTATTCACTACGAAGGAAACAACTGCAATTCATTACGGAGAATCACTTGAGCCCCCATCAGATGTGGAAGTAGAATCAGGCATTTGATTACTAATGCGTGGAAAAGCGGCCATTCCCGACAAATTTCTCCCTGTTCTTTTCAAAATGGGTAAAGATGCTTTGACAAAATCACTTGCCACTTTACTCCATGACATTTGGAACGAGGAGCATACTCCGTTATTATGGGGCGAGTCATTGATTGTACCCATCTTCAAGAAGGAAATCCGCAATGACTGTAGTAACCATTATGGGATCAGTTTGATTCCGATAATCATCAAGGTACTAGCTTCGATTTGTTGCGCCGTCTGACAAAAGCTGGCAAGAGAAACGCCTGTGAACAACAGGGCGAATTCCATGCAGATCGAGGATGCATTGGTCCGAATTTTACTCTTTGTCAATTACTGAAACGGCGTCACTCACACCGTCTACCGATAATAATGGGTTTTTTCCCCTGAAAGGTTCCTTCGATTCAGTTGACCGGATTGTGCTATTCAATGCTCTTTAGCGAAAAGGTATGCCACAGAAGTTTTTGAATCTGCTGAGATCATTGTACTGTCATACGTCTGGCCGCGCAAGGGTTTACGCCGAGCCATCCGGTCTATTCGCAACGATCAGTGGTGTTCGACAAGGATGTCCCATTTTGCCATTCTTGTTTAACTTCATCATGGAGGAAATAATGGAGCGCCTTGCGAGATCTTCCGGATGTGAGAATTAAACTAAGAAACAGTGAGAATTTGTGTGACCCAGATTATGCAGACGACCCTGTCTGCTTGTTTAAATGCACGGAAAATGCGCAACGTGCACTAGACAGACTCGCAAGAGCTGTAGTTCCATTCGGCATGCGCTTTGCACCTTCAAAGTGTAAAGTGATGTTGCAAGACTGGAAGTCAACGATTCGGAGCTTGATGCTTGATAGAGAGGAACTAACAATTTTTACCGCTTTAGTTATCTCGGCAGCAGCGTGACGGCGGATGGGAACACGGTCGCGGAGATGAGCACGCGTATATCGAAGGCTCGAACGGCGTACGCTTGAGTGAAACACTTGTGGCGGCGACCTGATATTTCTGTAAAGTTGGAAGGTTGTGTGTACTGTGCCTCGATGCGTTCAGTTTTGTTATATGGTTGCGAGACTTGAGGTTCATGCATGCGGAAGATATTCGTCGTCTTGAGGTTCTCAACGATTGATGTTTGCATAGTATGACTAAGATTGGATGGCATGACCGGGTAAGCAATGGTGAGGTCAGAGATTGATTATTGGGTACCAGTTCAGATAATGTTCTGTCACAATGTATCCAGTTTAGTAGACTTCGTTTGTTGAGGCACGTGATACGTATGGCAAGTACACGTCTACCGTACCGTGTCCTATTTTCTGTTCCTCCTGGGGAGTGTAATAATCCACGTGGAGGTCAACATATGACATGGCAACGGGGAATGGGAAAATGTACATCGAAATTAGGAAAAGTAGGTGTTTCACGCCATCGTGGTCGGTGTCCAAAAGATCCCTCAACCAGTTGATTGGATACACTGAAAGATGTGGCAACGAACGGTGAACGGTGGTGATCGTGTTGTCACTTTCTGTGGAATCAGAACGATTGACCCACGTGTGTTCGTACAGTTTTACTGTGTATTCCATGTGTTGGCTGCCGGGGTGTTCTTTCATTTCCCCACCTCTGTAGGCCCACTCGTTGTGTATCTTGTATATTCATTGTTTCTATTTCTACGTGCAACATGATGAATAGTGCAGTAGTCAGTGAGACTTGCCCTTCTGTCTCACGCTGTACGATGGTGAGGATAATGATGATGGAATGAGATGAAACCCATCTCGTTTTTGTGCGGTTTTGAGGAAGAAACCGTCCATGGTTACCATATCGGGCATTCTAATGTAGAAGCAGTATTTTATATCCACTATTTACATGGATTTTAAGCATGAAGCAGATAAATCGATTCATCCTGGAAAATGTGTTGCAGAAGGTGCGAAACACTATCAAATGCATTCGTAGACTAATGGGCAAACAAATAGTGGGTTACGAAACAGTGATCTGTATGGGTAATGACTGAAGCACAGCGTACAGGCATGCTTCCCATTATATTCTGAATGGTTTCAAGTTCTATGCTATCCCATTCATTGAGGATGTCGGACGTGATTCCGTGCAAAGTGCCGAAGTCTGCTTCATCCGCGGAGACTCGCTTCGCTAATAGGTCTCGAACATTTTCAGTTGTGTTCAGTTCTGGACTTGGGGTAAATCCGAACACGGACTTGATGTTCCGGTACAATAACCGGATTCTGGTGAGGCTGCTCTTATGTTTGACGGTGTTGTCGTGTTGAGATATTGTACTCGGTTGGTTTTCAGCAGGGACTGCTGTATCAACAGGACGAGGCGATTATCGAACGGGTCGAGCACCGTAGACCGAAGAAAAGACAGTGAATATGTCGGAAGCGTCTCACATCAGACCAGAAGAGGCATGTTAACTTGTAGATTGAACTCAGTAGGATCTGGGGCAATCAGCAATACTGTACGACGATGAGGATAATGCTGATAGTTAGGTGTCGCGATCGGTGGTGATTTTGTGGCCATGAACGTTATTGACTTGATAATAATATTTGAAATTCTCTCATTGCTCTATATTCCCGTTCTTCATCATGTTTTCTGAATTGTGGTTTCTCTACGAGATTGCAACCAAAGAGACGGTACTACGTGCATCGGTAATATTTTCTGAACTGTGGTGATGCGTTTGACCAGTTAAATCGTCCTGACTGTCGTCCATTGAACACTGGCAATATGTGATTGCGCCCACCTGAAAGCCAGTTTGTTTGTTGCACTGCGAGATGTCCAATGCTCAGATATCTCACATGATCGATGATAACACATGATGCAGTTGGCCATCGCTTCTAACGACCGCCTTGCACTTTTATCAGTATCATGTTCGGTGAGCATGACAAACATAACACAGATGCAAACCGCTGCATTTAGGTTGATCTAATAGAAATTGCATTTTTTCGGATCGGATGTTTCCATACAAAACGGATAATTAGCTAGAATTTCGCTGTCCACGTTAGTATGTGGCGGTGAAACCTATATGTTCAATCCTTCATCCCCTTTTTTTCTGTCGATTCGTTGACCGAAACCATCAGCAACAGGTCTAGAGTCTCGTGGCTGATGAAGTTCATGTATCCGAGTGGTGGATTTACTTATTTGATTGTTCATGGAATCGATTATGCCTCTGGCTCTGTACTGTGGTCATTTCGATTGATCCATAGACATCAGTGGTTGGATCATCATAGCGTTCGCGTTTTACACATAGTCCGGAGTTTTCTGATTCAAACGCTGAAGTTCACCAGGCTTATTGTGAACTCATAACAAACAAATTAGTGTGATGTGTATGCCGCTATTACTTCCTACCAGTCGAGGCCAGTCGGATTTCCCGAACACAAAAACGTATTGTTTACTACCCGATGAACTGTAATTGCTCTTAAGTGAAATCTAGTGTACCGGTTTTTCTCTCATGATATTCTCACTTCCGCATTGCAATCAGGGGCACAAAACGTATTGCCCGTTCGTACTGTGTCATTTGTACCGATCGGAATAAAACAGGTTTGGCCTACAAGCTCACTGAAATACAAAACCCTGTCAACGTCGTCTGAAACTGATATTTCCTCGTCCCAGAGTACTCCTGTTCCTTTTCCCGTGTTATTAGACACTACAACTGCTGAGATCATGTCGTTAGACAGAGAGAAAGTCTCTAGAACTTCGGAAAAGATGTGTAGATTTTCGAATAATGCTATTTTATTTTCACTAGACTTTCTTTTGCTATAGACGTGTAGTCTAGCCGTATGAACTTCCCTCTGTTTCATTTACTCATAATTATGTTCAAAATAAATGGCGTACTCTTCTACACATAGGAACCTACATTCGTGGTTATTTTGTCATCGTTTTGTGTGTCTCAACGCAATTTCAATCCGCATCACTTGATAGGCTTTCTGCAGCGTAAAGGTGATGCATCACTCGAGTTTGCTACTGAAGACTCAAAGAAGTTCGGAGACGACCGGTATTAAAGCTGCTGTTGCATCCCTGCTTTTCGAACTCCATTTTTCTATAGGGTCGTTTCACAGATGTTGCATGGATAATTGATCGTTGATCGCGATTGGAGCCGATGTGTGTGAGGTCATTTCTCTGTGCTCCAACCGATCCCACTCCTTTGAACCAGTTTCGTCCTCCCAATATTTTCGTCGCTTTATTTTTAACTGCACCTTTCTGGGAAACAAACCTCGCACAGTTTTAGTAGTGTCCCGTAAGACTGTTGACTTCCCTTACTCAAACAATGAATACATTGCCGAGTGACGTTTTGCCTTCTTGATATGTGATTCATTGTTTCGATGTAACTGGGTCCTGGCTAGAAATCCTGTGACGCGTATAATGTGCTTACGGTCTTAAGTAATTTATGACTCAGTCACTGTCGGTGAACAACCATTGATCATACGTTTTTCCGGCGTTTCGCAGGTACCACCAATTTTGCGGAAAAACTCGAAGAATTGTCCAAACAGATGCACGTAAGTTCTCCAGAACCGGCAGTTTTTACACTCATTCCCGTCCCCTAACCGGGCTTTTCTGGATAATATTATTTGCATTTTATTTGTCAGGCCCTGAGCAGTGACGAGGAAATGGCCAACCAGCTATCGTTGGATGTCGCACGCTTGTCTTCCCAGAATACTGCATTACTTAAACAAATGAGTAAATCTATCGTCCTGCATTACAAAGTGACAGCCTACTTGAGGCGGAAGACGCATCAAGTGCGGGTAGGTTGTTGTTAGTTATCGCACTTTTTTGTTTTCGTTGATGCTCTGCCAATTTTTCATTTGTCACAGTCATCATCTATTGTTTGTTTTGCCATAACCTCGACTCAAACACCTCATTCTTGTACGATATTGTGTCGAGTAGCGTTTTAATTCAGAAGAATGATGTCCTGAAAGGTTTATAAATGCTGGTTGAGGGGCCTCGTTGTCCGCACATCTTCAGTCAGAAGTCAAGTAGCTTTTATTTTACTATATTCCAGGTGACTAATTTTTCTCTTACATAATATCGACTGGCGACACCAGAAATGGTAGCACCGTTGGTTGGAACTGTTTTCATTATCATGTAAACTAGGCCGTGGAAACTTTTCAGTATCTCGAGAGATACTTCAAAACTAGCAACCGAAACCATCGCTTGCCGACTGAGGAAAACAGTAGTCCGGATTGGGCCTCGTGAATCTCTCGTGGGATACCTAATTTCAGATGTATTATTGACACAATGACTGCATGTAATGATTCGTCATTCTACGGTCATTGAGCTTGTCCTTTCTGGAAGATATCAATGAAATTTTCTTGTTTCACCAATAAAACGCCAGGTTTCCAACCTTCTGTGATAGACGGATGAGATTTTTGCTGCTGGTTGATCCCGTTTGGTTGTTTAATTCACACTAGTAGTGAGGCTGTTCTGTTAATATCAGAAAAAAAAAACAGTAATCGCTAACTACGTGCAGTGACCGTGCACGTGCACTTTTTCTTGCGGGCAGCCCAGCTGCTCTAACGTAACCGCCCATAAGATTTCGAATCTCCTTAACAGAGAAATCACCTGTCTTGTCTTCTGTGATAGGCACAGATATTGAGACCTCATTTAGAAGGAAGTGAACTATGACTCAAATGATACAATGATCTACCAGTTTTAATAGCTTGTGAGAAGAGAACGCTGGGTCTGTTGTTTTCCTGTTTTGCTTTACGCCTAAGGATACATTTGAATCAGACTTTTTTGTTTGTGTCCTAACTCTCATGGAACTCTTTTGGGATGTCATCCGACATTGGAAATTGCTCGAATTACGTGTATTGCAATTTAAATTAAAAAAGAACAGTTTGATTGTTTCTTTTCTACTTTGTACTTATTCCAATTAGGACTTTTCAAAACGCAGATTAGTTGAACGAAATCGACTACATATTACTTCATGAAGCGTCATTTTTCGGTTGCTGTTCACAACGGTTTACTTTATCGTGCTTTACGACGCGATATTGTGGTGGTTTCCAGCTGGTCGGCTGCATTATAGCGATTGTCCTTCACGAAGCCACAATGGTGCACGGGTGTTGTTCTTCCTTGTTGTAAGCGGATAACAGCAAAGGCTTTCGTTATATAATTATTTACGTCGTTTCGTAGTTGAGTCGTGGACGCGTGTTTGTAGTTATGTCGACAACAAGATCATCCGAGACCATGCCAACACTTTCCTGTTTTACTTCCTGGCCCCTATTAAGGATGTCCACTCCGTTCACTTGGTTCTTGTTGTTGCCACAAATCACTTTCAACGTTGACCAAGTGTTTTTTTATTGTTGCATACGAAGAGGCATCAGGATGCAGCGAAACCGCTGACCTACTCAAAGTGCGTTGTTTTTCGGATGGGTCTATCCTGGTGGTCGGATTCTATCAGCTATCATTAAGGGAGCTACTCTGTCTATCAAACGGAACTGCGCGCGCCCATTATTGAAATTTATTGTACATAAAATCTCGGTTTGAAAGTTTACTATTGAATCAGACCAATATCTACAATTTATTCTTGGTACACTCAATTTACGTCCCCATGTATCTTAACCGAGACCGAATTTGTGCATTGTTACCAGTCACTTACACCGTTCATCATCGCCGTCCTACAGCAAGGGTCGAAGAAGCCCTCTTCATTGAATATTGCGTTTCTCACCACTAAAATGTACGAAGAATGCTTCTCTACGTGGATAAGGTCTGGACATATTTGTATTGGCTTGAAGGATCTATGCTAGCACTATGCCGACATTTCAGCATGATGTCACAAATGGAAAAATTCATGGGTAAATACCAATCGATAAGTTATATCTGGAATGTTAAGAAGTTATAAAGTTTTGTAGGTAACTGATCCTTTATGTTCTCCCCATTGGTCTGAACCCGAGCAAGATAGGGTATAGGGAGTTTTTATACAGATTTATTCCAGTGGAGATTTGCCGGAGTGCAGAACGAGTGGATGGATGGAAACAACAAAGGGACAACTCTGCGTGCAATAGATGAATAGGATCCTGGAGTATCTTGTTGACTAGGGTCAAACAATACTCCATGTGTTGCTCAGTCATTCCAGTCAGAGGTCTCAGTGGTGATAGATGAACCGCGACCAATCCACAGCGCACAGCTTAAGCGTTTTGTTTCCGAAGGCCAGGGAAAATTTCAGGGAAACAGTGAAGCAGGATGAGAAAAGCACATTAGTGGCCGAACTTGAAAATAAGTGGCCGCTGTCTACGAAACTTTCTGACTTTCCGTGTTTGAAAAGATAAACGTCGCAGCTTTCCAGTACAGTTTTGAATGTGAGTTGCTTAGCGTAAATTGTTATCAAAAGTAAGTCTCAGGTACTCGACAGAGCTCACTCTAGGCAGGGATTTGGAATTAAGGCAAACAGGATCTCAGATAGAGAACGCAAATTACTGAAAAACACCTTCACGGCCTCTGAAGGGGTTCAGTCTTAAATCAGATGGGGTGGAAAAATGCTTTTCTCTAAAGTTTCTAAAATCTGATTGATTGAGAATTTCTTGACAAAGGACAACATCGTCAGCGTATTTGAATACTCTGAATAGTCCCACAATCATGGTCACATTAAGAACAAGACGCTGGAGAGCGAACACTTTTTTTCAATGAATCCTATACGTGCTCTTACAATTCACGTGGGTGAGGTAAAATTGGGCTGCGTTAGCCATTAGTCGGAGTATTTGAATACCTCAGAAGAGAGAGACACAGGTAGGTCGCTGATCTGTACGAAACATTGGAAATGGGACAACACAACACCCCGAAGTACTCTAGAATTGTTGAAAAAGGGTTTGGAAAATTGGTGTCTTATTTTGGTTTTCTTCACCATTGGGGAGAGAGTTGGAGTGCCAGGCAAATATTTTTGTCGGCCAGTTGAAAGCACCAAGCTTTTGAAGAAGAAGAAGAAGAAAAAGAGATCGGGATATTGAATTGAAGGCTGCGGAATTACCAACCAGTATATAGCGGGATGTAGTAATGAAGTGCATTAAGGAAGCTACATCACGATATGCTAGCTGCTGAGGGCAAGTCTGTGCTCCCTAGTGATGACCTGAGTAAGCTGCAAGTTCTACATATGCAGTGTTTTGGGGTGCTAGACGGAGCTTTTGACGTTTTCAGTTTGATCCGATTAACGTGGTATCCATTTGTTCCTCAGAGGGAGAGTGTGCGCTCCGGAGATTTCATCGATGTTTGCAAAACCTACCAGAATACTAACGATTGTTGGAACTTCAGTGCTTCCACAACATTGTGTGAATTCGATGGGCAATTGTAGTGTTGTGTTCTACGATATTCGTTTACGTGAATCTCCGTTTGTTTCCCTTTCCTGTTTCGGTGTATATCGTTCACAGCTGGGTTATAATGTGTCATAACAATCAAAACTAGTCCAACATTAACGGCTGAGAAAACTAGTACTAGAAACTTTAACTCTCATGACTTGATGATACTGTTTGTTTCTCATGACTTTTTCGTCCTACTTTTGAGGAGATTCGATTGCTTTAATGGATCTTACCATATTTGTTATTACCCAAAGTAAATCAGCTGGATGTGCAATACCAATGTTTTTTGTCTGCTTTGGATATTCGTGCCTTTGTGGAGGCTTGACAACGAATGTAATATGTACTAGTTCGTGCCTGAATATTAGCTTCATTGTATGGTCCTACGCTTACGTGTTGGTGTGTATTTCGACCCTCATTGGTTACCATAGTGATCGCTAGTGCTCTGTTTATTACATTATCGACCTACTTTCAATCAGGCGTGTCGCGACCGTTGGTATGTGATTTTTCACTGCAGGCTTAAATTTTCAGAAATAATACTTTATCGGTTGTTATCTGCTTTATTTTTACGCTGCGCCTCAGAGATCCGTCGGCATATCGCGAACCGGGTCGAGGCATATGACCATATTTTCCCACATTTTGTCATCGCCTCTAAACTACCACAAGACTGCCTTTTATCTACGTCTCTGCCGTGGAGGACTTACTGAGGAGCGCGTCGTCTGGCGTAATGGGATTGTTGAAATCCTTCTTTATTAAGCGATGATGTTCACGCCGTGGTCCGGTTGATGGTTGAGGTGTCTGTGTGGCATACGCTATGACCGTCTAGAGCGCCTTTGGCGCGTATGCTCGCTGGTTGGTCTGCGTACCCCGCTATGCGCTCGAAAAATTCAGAGCATGAATCCCCCCTTATACAGATCTCCACCAATGCCCCATTTTTCCATGTTGCAGTACCACGGACCACCCTAAACAAAGAAGGGATCTTCAAGTTGAAGAAGATCTGGCAAGCGTTACTTAACAGATTCTGCGGAAACGCTTTTACGTTGACGGGAAAAAGACTAGGCGTGTGATATATATATATATATATATATATATATATATATATATATATATATATATATATATATATATATATATAGAGAGAGAGAGAGAGAGAGAGAGAGAGAGAGAGAGAGAGAAGGGAATTCATTTTTGCTCAGCTGCCAGATGTATCGACATTTACGCAGTAGCTTCTCTAGCAATCAATATGACAAAAAGCAGTCGTCTAGCAGGCATCTAGTTAGCGCTCCCTTACAGATTCTCCGATCAATTGGTTGTCAGTAGTCATATGATTATTCTGTATGCGTTTGTATGATTCTGCTGTTTTCACCGTCCTGAACAACTTCAAATGGAATGTTTCGCGAAAACAGACATCTTGTAGCGATTTCATGGTACGTACCCCAATGAAAGAACACAGCAATTTGTCATCTTATCAGTCACTGTGGTTATTTTTATTTTCATGAATCAACTGAATCTGATTGATTGTTGCCACTTTTGTCGTCATCCACGTACACCGGTAAAATTATCTTCGGTCGAGTCTCCATCGTGTAATACTACTTATCTTTTTATTTTCCTCTTTGGACAGATGAAGCGGTTTGCCGAATCGTTTTTCTGTCAGGAGCTCTCCATTGTTCATCTTTTGGAGATTTACGACCCAAAGTAAGTTCTCTCTTTATGGATTGGACTGTAGGACAATTGTGTCTGTCCATGTTACACATCCGTTTAGTCACATCAAGCATCAGGACGCAGGAGTGTCTTTGAAGAAGGTTTCGTTTATTTTAGATCACTCTCACCTCACCCGACCCTTTTTATTGGTCAGAGTTGAGGTATCTAATTGTTGTCTGGTAATGTAATAGTAGTACTGGTGATGGTGTTGAATACATGCGTAATCCTCACCCATTTTGTGACAGAAACGAACTAGTATTTCGTTGTGGACGTCCGCGAAACGTAAAATGTCCTAAATGTTGTCCATCTTAACATACTGTTCATCTCAAATGCCACTCAGATAATAGTTTTAGACATGCTCTAAGTTTACCAATGCCCGTGAACTAGGCTTTCAGAGGCGTTTCAGTCTAACTAAACATCGAATTCAGTAACTGGAATTGGATCGAAGGTCAATTGTAGTATTTCTAATTCATCACAATTCTTTTTCGACCCAACCGTTGTTGTTAAGTGGCGCATAAACGCTGCGCACATAGGTGGTAGGTTTGTGCTTTCAAACATCCGTCCTCCCATGGTTAGTTTGCCTTTGATGACTTCGCGCGGTGGTCCCCGTATATACTGGGGCCTAAATAAGTGCACAGTCGACTGACAGTGTTGCAGGTCTTTTGATTCCATTAGAGATTCTTACTTATCGGGTAATAGGATGGACACCAGGTACCATAGGATAGAACCAAGGTGCACCACACTGAATCACAACCGGCTTAATTTACCTTTTACTAATCCTCCAGCTAGTTAGCTATCGGGTGTTCAGACCACTTCGGTTCCGCCTGTCCGCCTTTTTCACTTGTTTGTTCCAAAGTGACGATATGCCAACATCCAGTAGAGTGAATGAGATTGATAATCTTTTGCTTCCTTTTTATAATACAACGGAGGGACTGTTCTACTAGTAGGGAGCCACGGTCAAAAAAACGTGGTCGAATGAGACTCCTCTACAAGAAACACTTACCTTTATTGCAGTTACTAGGTATTTCTTGAAACATCACTAGTTTTCAATATGCCAGGTCCGAATGAGGTTCGGAGTGTATCGGAAAAACGATGCGCCATTTGGTGTTAAACTAGAGGATACAATGGCATTAGCACGGTGTTGTCCATGGAAAATTATCAGCCGAAGTTTCGATTACCGTGGTTAATCTTTCTTAAGGTAGATAGTAAAACTGCCTTGAGAAAGGTTACCTACGGCAACCGAAGCATCAACCCATACTTTTCCACCGACAACGCTGTTTTACTGACATTATATCTTCTCATTCACTACTAGTTTTTGTTACCAAAAACCTAGCATATTTCTGTTCCGGTATTACATTCATTCCTGCATTCGGTGTAAATTGAAGCATGCCATTAACTTTCATGCCACATCAGACACATGTTGAGTGATTTTACCGTTCTAAGACAATATAATGTAGTAAATACTAAACTTCACGCGCGTGTCTTAAATCCCCATGACACTCGTAACGCATGCGATGGACTTTGAAAAACTGCGCAAATTTACTATGCCGAGCTTTTCAGATTCGTCCGTGATGAATGAACGTCGTAGCAACTCAGCTTATTTTCGCTCAATTGAATTGCCCTTTTTAATTTCATACTTGCACATGAGTGCAATGGATGGGGTTTGTGCCATAGCCACAAAGGCCCACTGGACCATTAGAAATAACCGGAAACCAGACCCTGAAACTTGGAATGGAGAACCACCTAATAGGTCAGGTGTGACGACGAGTCGGACAATGGTGGATTGCTGTCTACCACTTGTTATGCCTGCAGTAGCTCATGCAATTTTATCAGCAGTTGATTTGTGATATCCGGTTGATTTATGTGAATCTCACATATCTAAGCATCTTCCGTCTCGGGACTGACCGCTTATTTGCTATGACTTTTAACAGATTATGTGCAATCGACCAGTTGTGTGTGGAATTCGGTTCTGTCTACTTGTTTCGACCACAGAAACGTAATGAACAACGATTCCGTAAATAATTGACGAGTGAATGACCATTTTCTGTTGGTTGCTTTGATTTCCATTGAAGATTCCCGAACTGTCTGTTTTGTATTCCGCTGCTGCTCGGCAAGGTCAGGTCTAACTGCATATTTATTTTGTTCGAGGGCACAAACGATTTACTCCACATGACCTGTGTTTGAATCAACGGTTCAGAGTGTGCGTTTCTCATTATTTTGTTGCGGATCCTATACAGAGGAGAAATGTAAGCTCGCACCACTGGGATTATGAAGTGATCAAGGTCCAGTCATCCTTGTGTCGCATGCCTGGTGTCCTCCGCCTGGTCGGTGTTAAGTCCCAATGATTTGTAAATGATTTTGATTTGTGTTAGCTTTTCGGAATTATGGTCTTATTTCTGGTACGCTAAATTCCGTATCTTTGACATACCCAGAATGTTATGTTGTCGTAGGCTTGTATATCCCCAGTCATTGTTTGCCCATACATCGAGACGTGAATCGCGTTCACGTGTGATTAAGGTGAACGCAACCCTAATCCGTAATTTCACTTTTGTTTGATCTAGCCGTTTCTTCCCGTTTTGCATGTGAGTGATCGTATTGAGTGGGCAGCTCCACAGCGAAAGGCATCCTAATACCATCTAAACCCTAATCTGGTATTTGTCCCGCATTCTCTCTGGTGCATTCTTGAGCGCGAGTATTTTGCTGATGTTGTATCACACTCCACTCTTATTCTGTCTTGTTTGCTATTGCATTATCGTGTTTGCCTCGTGAATGAAACAAAACCTTTACTACGGATGACATGACTAATATTCTTTTAGTAGGCGTTTTTCTCCTTACTTTTGTCCTCCTCATCAGCTAATTGAATCTAATTAATGCGCATCAGGATTGCACGTGACAATCACATTCTGTGGAAAGCTTTTCCCATGTCGAACATTTTTGTTCCACACTGCAGTTACCATTTCTGCAGTCCGTCGTTTTTACTATACAGCCATATATACCTATCACTATAATTTCGATATCAGCCTGTTTTTCATCACTGTTTGTTGTGTTTTATTCATTCACTTGGTCAAGTGATGAAATTATCCCATAAATGTACGCTTTCGTGGCCGTCTCCGGTGGCCATTTTTTCTGTCGCATAGCACAATTTCCCATACCGACCCTTCTGACTGAATGCCAATTGCGAACTTTCTAGTTGCTGTGACTCATCATCAGTAACTGGTTGAATACTCAGTTTTCGTTTTCAGTTAGCCACAATTAATTGAGCGTATTGCAAATTCACTGGGACATCGTATGTATTTTCCCGTGAGCTTCCGAGATTTCCGTTTACAAAAATATGATCGGGGAAAAACGCCATCGTGGACATTCAGATATGTTTTCCTTCCTCTTCAGTAGGTGTTTCTACTGTTTATTTCTTGATATTATTTGAAGATTTCCTCTGGTATTCACTATTTTATTCATCCTGGATGCTTTGGTATGATTTTCTCGCAATTCCAATTGGCTTACAGATTATCGTCTACATTGGTTTGTCCAACTTTTAATACCTTAGATACTTTCACGGACCCCGAAAACCCATCCCATTCTGCACTAATTTCACTCCTTTCTCATTTCGGTAACTGTAATAAGTCATCAAGCGTGCAACACTCCATATGCTATTTTTCTAATTTACGTGTTCAATATATATATATATATATATATATATATATATATATATATATATATATATATATATATATATATATATATATATATATATATATATATATATATATATATATATATATATATACTCCGCGCTAATGTAGTTACTCCGACGTCTGCAACTGCGATTCCTCGGACAGTATCACTTGAGCCCCGATCAGATGTGGAAGTAGAATCAGGCATTTGATTACTAATACGTGGAAAAGCGGCCATTCCCGACAAATTTCTCCCTGTTCTTTTCAAAATGGGTAAAGATGCTTTGACAAAATCACTTGCCACTTTACTCCATGACATTTGGAACGAGGAACACACTCCGTTATTATGGGGCGAGTCATTGTTTGTACCCATCTTCAAGAAGGAAATCCGCAATGACTGTAGTAACCATTATGGGATCAGTTTAATTCCGATAATCATCAAGGTACTAGCTTCGATTTGTTGCGCCGTCTGACAAAAGCTGGCAAGAGAAACGCATGTGAACAACAGGGCGAATTCCATGCAGATCGCGGATGCATTGGTCCGAATTTTACTCTTTGTCAATTACTGAAACGGCGTCACTCACACCGTCTACCGATAATAATGGTTTTTTTCCCCTGAAAGGTTCCTTCGATTCAGTTGACCGGATTGTGCTATTCAATGCTCTTTAGCGAAAAGGTATGCCACAGAAGTTTTTGAATCTGCTGAGATCATTGTACTGTCATACGTCTGGCCGCGCAAGGGTTTACGCTGAGCCATCCGGTCTATTCGCAACGATCAGTGGTGTTCGACAAGGATGTTCCATTTTGCCATTCTTGTTTAACTTCATCATGGACGAAATAATGGAGCGCCTTGCGAGATCTTCAGGATGTGGGAATTAAACTAAGAAACAGTGAGAATTTGTGTGACCCAGATTATGCAGACGACCCTGTTTGCTTGTTTAAATGCACGGAAAATGCGCAACGTGCACTAGACAGACTCGCAAGAGCTGTAGTTCCATTCGGCATGCGCTTTGCACCTTCAAAGTGTAAAGTGATGTTGCAAGACTGGACGTCAACGATTCGGAGCTTGATGCTTGATAGAGAGGAACTAACAATTTTTACCGCTTTAGTTATCTCGGCAGCAGCATGACGGCGGATGGGAACACGGTCGCGGAGATGAGCACGCGTATATCGAAGGCTCGAACGGCGTACGCTTGAGTGAAACACTTGTGGCGGCGACCTGATATTTCTGTAAAGTTGGAAGGTTGTGTGTACTGTGCCTCGATGCGTTCAGTTTTGTTATATGGTTGCGAGACTTGGGGTTTATGCATGCGGAAGATGTTCGTCGTCTTGAGGTTCTCAACGATTGATGTTTGCGTAGTATGACTAAGATTGGATGGCATGACCGGGTAAGCAATGGTGAGGTCAGAGATTGAGTATTGGGTACCAGTTCAGATAATGTTCTGTCACAATGTATCCAGTTTAGTAGACTTCGTTTGTTGAGGCACGTGATACATATGGCAAGTACACGTCTACCGTACCGTGTCCTATTTTCCGTTCTTCCTGGGGAGTGTAAGAATCCACTTGGAGGTCAACATATGATGTGGCAACGGGGAATGGGAAAATGTACATCGAAATTAGGAAAAGTAGGTGTTTCACGCCATCGTGGTCGGTGTCCAAATGATCCCTCAACCAGCTGATTGGATACACTGAAAGATGTGGCAACGAACGGTGAACGGTGGTGATCGTGTTGTCACTTTCTGTGGAATCAGAACGATTGACCCACGTGTGTTCGTACAGTTTTACTGTGTATTCCATGTGTTGGCTGCCGGGGTGTTCTTTCATTTCCCCACCTCTGTAGGCCCACTCGTTGTGTATCTTGTATATTCATTGTTTCTATTTCTACGTGCAACATGATGAATAGTGCAGTAGTCAGTGAGACTTGCCCTTCTGTCTCACGCTGTACGATGGTGAGGATAATGATGATGAAATGAGATGAAACCCATCTCGTTTTTGTGCGGTTTTGAGGAAGAAACCGTCCATGGTTACCATATCGGGCATTCTAATGTAGAAGCAGTATTTTATATCCACTATTTACATGGATTTCAAGCATGAAGCAGATAAATCGATTCATCCTGGAAAATGTGTTGCAGAAGGTGCGAAACACTATCAAATGCATTCGTAGACTAATGGGCAAACAAATAGCGGGTTACGAAACAGTGATCTGTATGGGTAATGACTGAAGCACAGCGTACAGGCATGCTTCCCATTATATTCTGAATGGTTTCAAGTTATATGCTATCCCATTCATTGAGGATGTCGGACGTGATTCCGTGCAAAGTGCCGAAGTCTGCTTCATCCGCGGAGACTCGCTTCGCTAATAGGTCTCGAACATTTTCAGTTGTGTTCAGTTCTGGACTTGGGTTAAACCAGAACACGGACTTGATGTTCCGGTACAATAACCGGATTCTGGTGAGGCTGCTCTTATGTTTGACGGTGTTGTCGTGTTGAGATATTGTACTCGGTTGGTTTTCAGCAGGGACTGCTGTATCAACAGGACGAGGCGAGTATCGAACGGGTCGAGCACCGCAGACCGAAGAAAAGACAGTGAATATGTCGGAAGCGTCTCACAGCAGACCAGAAGAGGCATGTTAACTTGTAGATTGAACTCAGTAGGATCTCACTCAATCAGCAAGATAGCCCAGGTGAAGAGCTTTCGATCGAGCCGTCAACGGAGCAATCGGTCCACAGGAACATAAATTATGGGCTAAAGAACCAACCTGATGGCTGCAAGTACCTGGCCAGAATGGAGTCGAAATACTCAGGTAGCCGGAGGAAATAATGTTGCCACAGCAGGATCTGGAAGAAGAACGGTATGAACGGTTGTATGTTTTACCAAGTAGATTTGTCTTGCTGGTGACATACAGGTGTGCCTCACCGACCTCGCTATTCTTCGTTGCACTATAACATGTGTGAATAACACCAGTGACTAATCGATAGTGCTCGAACCACTATTCCAACGATACACAGTATCTATCTTGGTTTTAATCATTGGGCTAGCCTCGTCGGTCACTTCCCAATGGGACGAACAGCACACGGATGAACGTGATCCATCGGACATTGAAATATATTCAGAGAATGTATTGTTGGCACGAGGAGCCTGAATCGTTTTTTTGGAAAATCCACTTGCATTCTTCACATCGAAAAGTCGGACGCCGCGAGCCGGAATCGAACCGGCGACCGTCCGCTTACCGGGCAAATGCTCTACCAGCTGAGCTACCGCGGTCCGAACGGTCCGGTGTGAATAACGCTAGTGAATAATCGATAAGGCGCGAACCACTATTCCGATGATACACAGTATCTGTCCTGGTGTCAATCATTGGACTAGCCTCGTCGGTCACCTCCCAATGGGACGAACAGCACACGGATGAATGTGATCTATCGGACATTGGGAAGTGACCGACGAGGCTAGCCCAATGATTAAAACCAGGAAAGATACTGTGTATCATCGAAATAGTGGTTCGCGCCTTATCGATTATCCACTTGCGTTATTCACACCGGACCGCGATAGCTCAGTTGGTAGAGCATTTGCCCGG